TCTTGTTGTCCTTTTTATTTTACACGTCTCGTTGCAACTCGGCGAAGTCTTTAGTTGCAGACGTGTGGATCTGCGCACGTTTCCTGACGTGTCAGACTCCTGTGCTTCCGACATTTCAGTCTGGATTTCTGCCATTTCTTGAGCAGAAAATGAATTATCTTTCAGATCTGCGCATATATTTCTCTCTATGCCTCCAAGCTGGAACTCATCTGTCACTTCTTCTGCAATGACTTCCCGTTTCCCTTTAGTCACTTGGTCACTTATTTCGTGCCCTTCACGGCTTTTTCCTTCATCTGTTCCCTTTCCTGGTTCAAGATCGTCATTTATGGATGACTGGTTGTTCTTTTCTGTAAGTACGTCTTGCCCCCTTAATGCAAAGGTTCTCGTCAAAGTCTCCAAAGCTTTCGCTACATCCACAGTCTCACTCGTTTCTTCAGCCCTCACAGCAGGAGCCTCTTCGTCGCCAGCGCTATCAGCACTTACAGCCACTATCTCCTCTTCATAGAAATCTGTCTGAACTTGAACTGCAGCCGACTCCATCATTTGCTCATCCACCTCAGCTGCTCCGACTTCCACTTCAGTGTAAACGGTGACCACGCTGTACTGGTCGGTTCCCACTAAAGTGACTGGGTTCAATACGTTAGCGTAGTTATGGATGGCGTCCAGTCCAACTGATACGTTTGTCTTTTGTGAGGGAGGGATTGATAATGCAGACATAATGGAGTTACCAGCAGTGGAAGAAGGACCGTCTGCAAAAAAGAGACTCATCAGCTACTGCAGAGAGAGACATATGTAAACAAAATCTCTCAATTAATTTTATTTATATAGCGCCAAATCACAACAATAGATGCTTCAAGGTGCTTTATACTGTAAAGTAAAGACACTACAATAATATAGCAAAGGTTCCAGCAATCAGGCAACCCCCTATGAGCAAACAAGCAAACATGTGGCAACAGTGGGAAGGAAAAACTCTCTTTTAAAAAGAATAAACCCCCGTCAAAAACAGGCTCAGGTACTAAGAAGTAAGAGTATAAAGTGTATACTAATAATAGTACACACACACACACACACACACACACCCACAAATGTATTTAGGTGTGATGAACACATCAACATCTATTGTATCTGTTATTAAACATTTAGTTGACCTGTTACAAATATGTGGGAATCACAGTAGGTCAATCATTTTGTAGTATCAGTCTAAAACAGAAATATATACAATAGAATATGGAATGACTGAGTTCATTTATATGCGAAGTAATATTTTTGATTGTATTCCCAAGCCAATTCAACCTTTTCTCTCAAACCTTCTCTTCAAAACATTGAACCTGAGAGGTCACCTAGATATATTCTCAGAAATTGTAATTTAAAGTTTGCTGATAAAAGCATTAGGAAGTCACGAGCACCTCTCTATTTTGGTGTAAAAATTATGTTAACATACTGTAATACACAATTCACTCAAACATGGCAAACAAGAAGAGGATTAAATAAATGTAGTTTTGTTTATACAACTTGTGTTTTTAAATTTCTTTTGGCATAAAAAAGATTAAAAATATAATTTATTACATTAGGAAATGTCACTAAAATAACTTTGTCACTTAACAGCCATCAGGTCACCCTATCCCACTTTGAGTTAAGGTTGAGTTAATATTCACCTCTCTTCGTGGAATTTTCCCCGTTTAGAAAAACTAAATGGAAAATCCCATCAATGAATAACTGCAAGGCCAAAATGTATGAAGGAGACTTCATTTGAAAAATAACAACTTCTAGTTTCTGGAAATTTATTTGTTTAGCATGTGAGTGAAACATCATCAAACCCCAAATGGTTTGCTGGAGATTTGGTGGGTGTTTAGAGGTTAGATAATTCAATTCAATTTTATTCATATTTGGCCAATTCAGTCGCCTCAAGGTGCTTTATATCCTGATGGAAAGACCCTCCAATTTTAGAAAGAAACTGACAAGCACGCAACCACCTATGAGGACAAAAAAAGTATTTAACAGAATGAAACCTCACGCAGAAATAGGCTGAGGGAGGTGCTGTCAGTGCTGTCACAGTTGAGTGAAGGAAAGCAAACCAGTAGTCTAAGCCTATTGCATCACAATGAGTCCGCTAGGGTCTATTTGACATAATCTGGTCATCAGATAGGGATTGTGAGGGTCACATGGAGCTGTGACCCTCACATATTGAAATGCACCAACTATACATGCATACCAGGTGGACTTCAAGTGGGCTTTTAACAAGTAAAACAGGAATGACTGCTCAGCTGTTGGTGCTTTAGCTGTTCCTGTCCATAACAGAGTAAAATCAAAGCCTAAGGGAGTCACCTGATCCAGCTCTAACTATAAGTTTTATTAAAAAGTAAAGTTTTAGGCCTAATCTTAAAAGGTAGAGAGGGTGTCTGTCTTCAGAATCCAAACTGGGAGCTGGTTCCACAGAAGAGGGGCCTGATAGCCAAAGACTCTACCTCCTGTTCTACCTCTAAAAACTCTAAGAACCATAAGTAAGCCTGCAGAGAGAGGGCAAAGACCTTATTAGGTAATATGATACTAATAGGTCTTTAATATATCACAGGGCCTGTTAAGATAAGCATTATATCTCAGAAAGTTCTGATAAAGTGCATTACTATACACTACAAACCTGTTGCTATGAATTTATCCACTGATCTTGAAATATTAAGAAGTGAGAACTAATTATGCAACTTTAAATCTGACTTTTTAACCCAGCTGTGATGGTGCAACATCTTGCTTCATAGTTTTGTTGATTGTGAAAACTGCTGCAGGTCTACTTAAAGTAAAGCGCTATACAAATACAGGCCATTTTACTTACATGCCATTTTCAGTAGTCCTGAACTTTTGTAGTGCTGATAGATAAAGCTCAGATCTTCAGTTGACAACTGAATGCATTCCCCCAAAACAGAAGGAGCTGAGTCCAGCCAGGCTACAGTCTGTAATCACAGCACGGTGTTAATATAACCTGCTGAAAATCACCTGAAACAATTATGTTATCTGACTGAATACCTGCTTTAGGTCTGGTACTGGAAGCAACTTTTCCAGCTTGGAGAGCAGATCCCATAATAACATATTTAGTGCTGAGTCATACTGTGGACCGTATTCCACTGGAAACACTTCCTGTAAGATAATAAGATGTTCCTTTTATTCTGAGCATTTTCAAGCAAAGATATGAAATACTAAAATATGTCATACCTGAAAAAAATATGCCCTCTCAATTGGATCTTTCAGCAGACTTTGAACCAGAGCAACAAAAGTAGACTCTGTTGTTTTCACCTCTGCATCCCTATACTGCAACAAATTGAAGTGATATCTTGAAAAAAAAGTACAGGGCACACTTTATTTTAGCCGCTTCTCTTTAACGTACTTACATCTGTGTTTTCAGAGGTTACTGGGAGTCTGTCCAAATGGCTCTGGATTGCTTGAGAATCAACAGAACCGCGTGTCGAGCCTTTGCAAAGCTCCAGTATCAACTGAAATATCAATAAACTGAGTTTTTACAGAATCAACGCAGCAAAATAAACATACATGGATGGTATGCCAGCCAGACTACCTCCTCACCCTCGCTCTGAGTCCGAGGATGAGCTGGGCTCTCTGCCTGTGGCTGATCAGACCAGGAATCGCCTCTGTCACTGTGAACACGAACTCCTGCAGCTTCTGGTAGCTCATCACATCTTTCTGCTTCACCAGCTGCCACATGGAGGCAGACAGAAGCTGCAGAGGTGGCACCAGGAGTTGGAGGGATGAGAGAGACAGGCTTGGATCTAAAACATAAAGGTGTAATGTAACAAATGGTCTTTAGAGGGCAGCAATCAGCTTTAAACTCCAGAACTCACACTCACATTATAACAATACATATATGTTATTCATTTAATTCAGTGCTGCTCATATATTACTAAGGTAATAACTTTCTCAGGTAAAGCAATGCACACATATGTATTTTTTTTTTGCCCTGTATTTAAACAGCCATAAGCTTGGGAACCCGAATAATTGCTGGACTGTCCTTAATAAAAGGAGTTTTAAATTGCGATTCTTCAAATATATCATTAGCTATGGTTTAGATAATAAATTAAGCATAATACTTGACAGAATAATAAAAAAAATCTGAAAATAATTGATTTATTTTTTATGCTAAACCTTAAGTTTGACAGCGCGTGCGTATCACAATTCCTTTAAATAGACGGCCACCGCTAAGTGTGTAACCGGCATAGACGTAGCTTACTTTAAATCGCAGCTGGTTCAGATTGCCACTGTACCCACCGCTTGTTTTCTCTGCAGAGTCGAGAACCTCCATGTGTGCACTGTGCCTCTTGTGGCGCCGAAAATTAGGCGTTAAGTTGTTTTGTTTTAGTTAGTAGCTAACATGCGCTGTTCGGACGCAAGCACCGTTTCCTCAACGCTTATACTCTGATTCCGCTTTTCAAAATAAAAGTATCAAAGCTGTCAGGCGACTTGTCTCACTGACATTAATTTCTTACAGTTTTGTTTTTAGTTGGAAGACAAGATAGAACAGACTTTCCAAATCCTACAAATCCTAAAAAATGAGTAATTCCAATTCCAAAAAAGCAAGTAAACAAGTAAACATTGCATCTGCATGCTTTTTCCGAGCATGAAGCTATACTGCTCATTGTTTGAGTTAATTGTTTTGCTTGCCTCCTATCATCTGTTCTTTATTTTTTGTTGTCAAAAACATATAAATAAATACCTAAATAAATGCAAATTCTATACAACAATGATATTTTCATGGCTAAATTACAAGTAGCTCCGAATGTAGCAAAAGTTCAACTTTTACTTTGAAGTAACACCCAACCCACCACCCCCTCTTAACTTTATTTAAACACAAACAATTTACAGAAAAATACAAACATGGCGGTTGAAGTCATATAATAGTGCATATAATTCAGGTAAAGCGGGGAACAAGAAAAAATATAGGGTTAAAAAAAATACAGGCTCGAGGGTTTTTGAAGCGCGACTTCGAGGCAGCCTTCTGCTACGCAGTTGGTGACGTCAGGACGTGATCACGCAACCCAGAGTCACGTGAACCGTTTCACATATGTAAATGTTTTAATAACCTGTTTTCGGTCTTTTTTGCAGTGAAATTTCTTGCTGCTGAATTTGAAAGTGCACTTTAATCTTCAGCCATCCAACATGGACGAGGACGGGCTGCCCATCGTGGGCTCTGGAGTCGACCTTACCAAGGTTGGCGTTGACTAGTTAGCTAACATAGCTATTTGAGTAGCTGGTGAGGAAATGAAAGCAGGCACAAGCAGAGCTGCTTGACATATGTTTTGTTTAAGAAGTAAGATAACACAAAGGCTGTTTATCGGTGATAGAAGCCTATAGCTTGTAAGTCATTAACAGATATGACTGTCGCAAGCGCTTGTAGTTCAATTTCCCTGATAAATGAGTGATTTTTTTTTTTAAGTGAATATATGTTGTTTCTACACTTGATCTTCCAGGGTAACAGATTTAACCTTTGCAAAGAGATATACTTACGCTTATCTTTTGTTTAAAATAAATCTATGAAGTGAAAATGTCTGTCATTTGTATAAATAACTGTTTTTCGGGAAGGGATGCTTTTTATTTTATTAACCGTTCTGGGCAATATTAGCTAATCTAAAATGCTATTTTGCTCTTGTGAAATATAAGTGGTATATTTTGCATTCAGCATTTGAAGTTGCCTGTGAATGACTGTCAGCATGTTAAACTTGTTCTACTCATTATTTATTTTTCACAAGAATAATAAAAATAGTTTTGCATCACGTTTAAAAGCAAGATACTTCACAAAAAACTGATTGTGCCGACACCTAAAAGGAGCAGGGGAAAGAAGATGTATGCAGCCTAGGGAGGAGAAGTTGCTTTAAGGGGAGATTGGACTGGGAGTTGTTTCATTTCCTTGTTATATTACACTTATGTTCCTTTTACCGTAAATTTCTTTTCCTGTGTTTCCTTCAGGTTCCTGCGATCCAGCAGAGAAAAATTGTTGCCTATCTCAATCAGTTTGTTGCACACACAGTCCGCTTCCTTAACCGCTTTTCCACAGTGTGTGAAGAGGTTTGTTTATCTTTATTTTTCTTCTGTTCTCGTCATGAAACAAAAAATCTCTGTAACACTTAAATCCTGAACTGTTGTAAAACATCTTCCCCCAGAAACTTGCAAACATATCTCTTCGCATACAGCAAATAGAAACCAGCCTGTGCATTTTGGAGGCCAAGGTGAGTTCTGAAGCCTCTGCAGGCTGCAGTGCAACATTATCTTAATTTAATGCCAATTTTCTTGACATTTATGGAGCAATATTGTGCTCTGTGTAGTTGTCTTCCATTCCTGGACTGGAGGACGTCACAGTCGAAGGACTCAGTAAGCAGCAGACTGCACAGGCCAATGGACCCATCATCCCCAATCAGAGCCAAATCGATGGTCCAGTAGCAGCGCCTCAAGAAGAGGTAGATACACAAACTCATACACGTGGAAACATAGCTCCATCCAGCTTCGCTGAACTGCAAAGTCGAGGTTTTTTTTTTTTGGACAGTTTTAAAAATAAACCTGTGAGCAGACAAAGGTTTCAAAGCACCCCAAGACCACCTAATTAGAACTTAATATCTGACCTGTTTAGTCCATTTTCAACTTGACAATCCCACATTGAGAGAGGCTCCTCTAATATATTTTTGACATGATGGGAGCCAGAGCAGTTTTTCTCTTGACTCTCAGGGTAACTCAGTCTTCTGTATTTGTTGTCCAGACATTCAAGTAAAATTTTCCACTGTTTTGACTACAGTGGGATGTCCCACCACATGTGTTTTTGTTTTTCTTCCTCTAGATGAAGAAAGGGAATATTTCCATGGAGCTTTATCTGGCTGAAGTTCAGCTCCAGAGTAGCTCTTTTAATGCAAGAGAGTCAGTAAAGAGAAAAAACTGAAGTAGTTGGAATTGTTAAAGAGAAATGAAACTTTGTTGTTTTTTCTTTTTGGGAATATAATTTGTCAAATTTTAGTGGTTTTGATGATCTCCACTTTCACCTGAAGTGAAAATGAAAGAACTTCAAAGCAGGAATCTCCCACTTGTATTATTTATATCTACCAGTGGAGCACTTTTAAAAAAGAGCCACATGAAGATAGTTTAGGGTAAATGAGATGATGAAAAGAGAATAAATGTTATCTGAAAGATCTCTTGCAAAGAGGACCTCAAACAGAAAACCTTTACAGGCTTTCATTTCTCTTATTGTGAAACATTTGCAGAAACATGTTGTGGAAAAGTCAAACTTTTTTATTTAAAGACAAAACATTTATCTTTTTACAGTTAACACTTCATGCGTTATTCTACCACAAAAGAGAATAGATGAGAGGGGGGGGCAACAAATCTCTGGAAAAGGGGAAAGAGGACCTGTTTAAGTAGAGAAAGGTGTGATGAATGAATGAATGCCAAAGGAGATGGTCTTACAGGGGAAGATTTATTAAAGCTAAATATCATCACTGAAATCCTGTACTATGAGATGCCACAGGGCTCCATCTTAGGACCGTTGCTGTTTAGTGTATTCACCAATCATTTTTTTATGATGGTGTTGCTGGGAGCGTTGTATGTACATTGTAATGTATTTGAGCAAGTTGCTGTTAAGTTAGCATTCACCATTCAAAAAGTTTTCAAATGCTCTGAGCAAATTTGCAGAGCGATCGGGTCCACCACAAGGGGGCACTGTAGCGTGCCTGAGCAAGGCACCACTACAGTCTACTTTCTCTAACAGAGAAAATAAAGCTTGGAATTTGCTTCCAAAGGATTTGCAGATTTGCACAGATTCTCCTCTCATGATTTGGATAAAAAAGGATTTTGAGAATTAATTTCATTATAATTTTCTTTTTGTTTTTGCAAAATGTATTTGTTTTTTATTATATGTGTGTCTATGCACATATTTATTTGGTATTTCATCATGTGCATATCTGTTATTTGGTGATTTCACTGGTTTTTAACTGCCCAGGGCCTGCAGATGGACACTAGTAGCTAAATCTAATACAAAGCATCTTTTGCTTTCATGTGATTAATATATTTAGTACATGGTCCCTTAAAGAAATAAACACGTAGCACTACGCCCCTAAACAAAGTGATGAAATGGGTATGTTTCCAGGTACTTCCAAAATTGTATCACCTGATTTAAAAACATATCTTAAACTATGAAAATATAAAACCTGTCAGGATATCTGCTGTCATCTAAACCGCTTCACTCTGCCTTCGTTTCTGTGCATGTGTCATGTTGCAGCCTGCTCAGACCACACCAGAAGCTTCAGCGACGCAAAAAGCAGAAGCGGCTGCAGAGAACGTCATGACGGTGGCCAAAGACCCGCGCTATGCCCGATACCTGAAAATGGTTCAAGTGGTGAGTCATTATTACTGTTGCTGTGGTTACCTGCATAACGGTTTAGTTTTGTGCCTTAATGTGATGTTTAATGTGCCAAAGGGGGTTCCGGTGATGGCCATACGGAATAAAATGGTCATGGAGGGTTTGGATCCCAATCTGCTTGAGTGAGTGTTTTTTAAATTACTGTTCTGGTTATTACCAGTTTTCTGATAAACTGACAAACAGTATGTGACTTGTTCCCTGTTGATCACAGCACACCTGATGCCCCCGTGCCCGACGGAGGAACGAAGACCTCGGAGGACCAAGACGCTGCCGGCAGCAACTCTGATAGTGAATCATCTTTTAGTGACTGAAATTGCTTATTTGTCCTCAACACACAAAGTTTCCTCATCCATCGCCGTCTGCACAGCTTTAGGCCCGTAGCGAGGAAGTATGAGGTACCTGTTAAGGGCTTCGAAGGAGGTGGTGTGAATGTAGGTGCCTGAAACAGGAAATCCAAATTGAGTGACTGTAGTTTCAGTTTAAAAGAGCTGAACTGGTTCTCCTGTTTGGTCAATCAGTGACCTTTATTTTTGAAAAAACATTTTTTTCTCATAAATTACTTTTCAAGAGGAGGAGATCATTTTTTCTCTTAATCATATAAGCAGCAGTCAGAAGATGACAGTAGCAAGTGTTTTAACAAAACCAAACCATATCACATAGAGGTCTTCTGTGGTAGTTGCACCACTGACTAATCACTAATGTCTAATCTCTGAAATGTTGTGTTCACACCAGCTGCAGAGAATATAGCTGGAAACCCATGAACATTCACTCTTAACAACCAGCAGGATGAGAAGGAATCAAGTTACAGTACATTAATTTAGAACTTATCATAATGTCCCAAAAATTTACTCATGTTCATCTAAACCTTCTCCTTTTTCCTGTCTCTGTTTCAAAGCAAAGTTCAACTATACAGCTCGAGATTACCTCAAGTTTGTCTTTTATTTCTTATCGGCACTGAGGAGAATCTGAGGTCATGTAGCATGAAGTGAACGTTTTGGTAAAGTTTACATATTTTAACTACTCCCCTCAGCTCACATCAGTTCTATGGAAGCTTATTACTGCCAGTGAATTTTTTCCCATTGATAACTCAGACTTTTGGAACCTAATTAAAGTTTTAAAAATGAAATTAAAAATTGAAATTAAAATAAGTTTTTTTTGAGTGGCGAAAACGAGCTTCCATAGATTTCGCCTCTGCATAAACTTTGTATGTAATTTGAATTTGGTGTGGATGCACAATAAACCAGTACACCCTTTCTTCTTGCAGATTTCAGGCAAAATAGGAAGAACAAATATGTTGGTATTTTCAATGTTGGATATGTTCGTGTGCATTCAGGGTTAAATTAAATCTTTGGATCTTGAAACACTTTTCTCTCTATTTTTTAAAAATTGTACTGTTGTTTAATTATTTTTAAGTTAGACAGAAGTAAATACGTAACAGTTCTAGCACAAAGACTAAATATCAGTGGTGTCAAACTCAAATACACAGTGGGCCAAAATTCAAAACTGGAACAAAGTCGCGGGCTAACGTTAATATTTATTGAAATATATTTATTCTTCCAGATATAAGAATGAATGTTTTCTTATGGACTCAAACACGTTTTTCTGAAAAACTGAATATGGAACAAGCAAAGCTTAATACTAAACAATATATATATAAGATGTATAATACCAGTAGGCCAGCTCTAATAGTAATTTGGTATGGCTTCACGGGCCAAATGTAATTGCCAGACTTTGACACCTATGCTATATATCATTTACATCCTATACTATATACAGCATAGTCTTCACCATGCCTGGTGAAATGTAATAATAAAGGAAAGTCCAGTGTAGCAACTGAACTTGGATATACATCACAGTAGTGACGTGGTGTATTTTTTTTTTTTTCATTATCAAAGAGATCAGACCTGTGTCAAAAAAAAGAAAGAACTTATCTCGGTTTTGTTATTTATCCACTCTAAATAAAAGCAGAGGTATGAACTGATCTGATCTGTGGTTTAAATGGGAATAATTAAATGGGAAGATTCACACTTCTTACATGTGTTATACTATAAATGCTTTTTGTTTTCACTCTAAAGTGCTTAACTATCTCACCTAAGGTTTGTATTACACTCCTGAATATGACTTCCTTATTGTGCTGGCTGATGCGTTCATCAGCCAGGTGTCAGCTCTTGTGTGCTTACATTTCGAGCTGCCCTCACGTCTGTGTTTACCCAGCCGTCACGGGCAGAGCCAGCAACGTGTCGTACTTGGACGAGGACAGAGGCTCAATGAGAAACCTATGACTGATCTCATTCATGGAGCCTGTCATATCTGCATCAACTCACACAAAGGAAAAGTTGCTCTGCCGCTGCTAATCAGGCTCACGTATAATAATTTCCTCATTGTATGATGTATGGGTATGATTTTTTTATTTATTTATTTTTTTTAAGAGATGGAGGTGAAAAGATGATTTTACATTACATTTAAATGTAGTATAAGTGTCCACACCACCTTTATTCGAGCAACAAATGTAGGTATCAGAGCGCCGTCTTTCGGAGACATCACAACATAAACACTTGCTGATTATGAGCAAAAGTGGCTAATATTTGCCATGTTATTCAGAAATGGTTTATTCTCCAATAATGGTAAGACTTGTGCAGTAATCTTTTTAATTATTGTGTAACCTTGATGGAAAAAGAGGATGCTGTTCAGACTAAAATATTCTTTATCAAGACTTTAAATCCGTACCTGCAGCACTGCCTAGTGCACTTTTAACCATTTAGTTGAATCTAATAATTTATAACAATAAAACTGTTTTCTTTTTGATATTTGTTTGTTTGTTGTTTGACATTCAAATTCTTTGAGAAATGTTAGTTTCCCAAAGCTGCTTAAGTTTTGATGTTTGATACAGAAAAATTAATTACTGTACTATTAAGACACCGAGTACTAATAAATTCTATAGCCAGTCAGTCCAATGACATGCCTCTTGATCTTCATCTGGTTTTGTAGAGTTATGCTCTAGCTTTTGTAGGTGATGTGTGAACTGCAGTCTTTCTTGTGGTGTTTGTTGTTGGTAGGAAGTACGACTCTTCATCGTCATGTGACTCAAAACTTGTGGGTACAAGCCTGTGAATGCTTGATTCACAAGCCTGTGAATGCTTGTACCCTGAGAAAGAGGGGCAATCACGTCATCGCTGTCAGGGATAAGATGTCCTTTAACGGATGCTAAATTGTAGTGAGATAAGTGTGGAGTTGTACTGAAAAAACACCATGCTGGATCTGTGATTCTGCCTTAAATAAACACTCGTACACTTTTTCTTTTCTTTTTTTAAATATGTGCTTTTATTTTTCAAATCACAAATGCATTACAATCTGTGTTGTACCTCATTTTATAAGCAAAAGTATAAAAGTAGTTCAGATAAAACACAAAAATAAAACGTTTCCTTCTTATAAAAACAGTACCTGTAGTGAAATGGTTACAACTTGTATACATCACTGCGCAGGATCCTTTTTTTTTTCTTTAATGTACAGTACGTTTATTCCAGCTCCACATTAACAGCTCCAGTCGAGAGCAGTTCAGCAGAAGTATGTGCCTGCTGCTCCACTGAAACTTGACCACTTTTCTCAGTTTGCATGTTTTGCATGTATCTCTCTGTCTGAGAGATAAAAGGTAATGAAACTTTCAAGTAGCCTTCCAGTTTGTTAATATCTTCCCTTGTTCCTTTTATGTAACAATCTCTAAATCACACATTTTTCTCAGAGTTTTACAGCCCTCCCAGTGATTTTACTTTGCTGATTTTTGGCTAAAACGGTGGCTCTCAATTTTAGATGTTTTCCTCTAAACATCTAAAAGTAAATAAATAAATTACGCCAGATTACACCAGCGGCAATGCCACAAACGCCTCACCCCACCCGTCTGCTAAAATCAATTTTTGGAAGATGGGTGTAGTCCAACACCCTTTATGTATGGGGTGTCAAACACAAGGCCTGGGGCCAGAATCGGCCTGGTAAAGACTCCAATTTGCCACTCGGCAGGTCTGGAAAATGTGATGGAGTGCATAGACTTTGTACTTTTAACTGTATTCTGATATGTTTTTGAGCTTGTCAGACATACTACGCCAAAGTAATTAATAGATAAACAAGGAAATGACAGCAAGTTCCTGTTTTTTCACTGTCGTCTATATAAATTCAAGCTTTTGACAGTGGACTGGACAAAGACTGTCTGGGTAATAAATTACCAAAAGCTTTTCTATGATTTTACATATTTATCACGTAATTCCATTGGTCCAGCTCATTTAATATCAAAGTTGTCTAAAGTTTGACATCCTTACTTGCACACCTATAATGATCCATGACTCATACCATACAGTACAAGATACATACTTGGTACCAGAAACTTCTGCCTAGATTAAAACCGTACAATGTAAGGTTACAAGTGAAAAACCAGCCAGAAGCCCTATTGAATGAACCTCCAGAATCCCAGCTTTACTTTCGGTTCATATTGTATAATTCCTACTAAAGAGTAGCATAATTCCTATTACCTGTATGAAAATCTACATTTGTAGCAGCACCAGAGATGATATTGAAGTGTCTGCTAGCATGACTGAGAACGTGAACAGTATACAGTAACTCATATCAGTCAGAAACACCATGTTGGACTTTTCATGAGTCAACAATGTGGAGAGGACAGATTCAAATACCGAAACCAAAACTCTGAATCTGAGCATCCACAGCAGGAGTTTTTCCTCCTTAATTTGATGTTGCAATAATGTGGTCATCCAATAAAACTGGGAATTCATAAACCTCTGCACAAAACCAACAACTAGTACACATTTACTGTCAGTCAAAGACAGGTCAGACTGCCAAGTAGCCACAGACATACTGAGTGGTCTGAGTGGTATTGTCATTTAGCCCCGAGTGCACCGATCATGTGCTTCTGTGTGATGAACTTCTCCTATGTAAAGTCGGAGCTCTCACAGAATGTGTCATGCTGGTGTGGCAACAGCAAAGTGCAAAGTAAACAGGCAACATTAAGTACACTTGAAAATAGTTTGTGTAAAAACAACGAATTAATAATACAGTATTTGCATAGTTTTTCATCTGTCACACCTGACAGACAGCCAGTTGTACCAAAATGCATAAATACATATATTTTTAAGTATCTACTGTATTCTACCAAAATTTCAGCCAGGGGAAATTGGACAGGATTAAAGATACATACATAAAATGTAAATACTTATTTATCTTAATGTTTCTGGCCCAAAATGTTACAAGACTAATCCTCAAGTTCTGCTTTCACACGTAAGGTAAAGAACTGTAGGAGAATAAAAAAAGAAGAATTTTAGCAAACGAATAAATATATATTAAAAAACTATATACTATGTGTGACAGTGAGATACTGACCTTGAAATCATGAATGTATGTGAAGAAGAAGAAGACAAAGGTAAAGGCAACAATCCACTCGCATACTGCACTGGCTACATGGAAGGGATAGTCCTGCACGATGGAAACAGACACTTAAATCAGAAAATTCTATGCATCTAATAATAATTATTAGAATTTTTGTTCTATAAATGTTGGAACGTTCTGTCCAATGATGCCAAATATACTTCCACTAGTTTTCTGTTAGAATACTTTTTTGCACAACTTCTCACATTTAGGCAGCACAGATGAACAATGGACAATGGCAACAGTAAACAGTTCTCACATATTATCTGATATTGGTGTTTGAACATTATTTGCATCACCATTTGTTTTTCTCTGCTGCTTCTTTTCAGACTCGCTCAACTACCACAAAAGGTTTCTGGTTCTTTTAGCTGACTCATGGCAGTAAGAGGTTTGTGTTATGCACACACTTCCATTTAATTCCAATAGTAAATTTACCAAAAATTATCACTGACATGTTGGGGAATGTTTGTTGGATCTATCTATTAGATCCCC